TCTGGGGTTGGCAGCCCCTCCGTAATGCGCGGGGGGGCGGTGAGGGGGGGTGGTGGCGACTGCTCCGGCGACCGCCGGAGGAGGTGGCCCGCACGGGCCCGGGGCGGGCCCAGCAGAGGGCGGGTTTGAAAGCGCTCGGGCGGGCGCGGGAAGCGCGGGGCGGGCGCGCAGATTTCGGCGCGGGAGGTGTCGTTCTCCAGCAGGTGCTCTTAGGGTCCGGGCGGGCGTTCCGGGGGCTCTGGGGCAGAGAGTGGCGTGTCCGGCTTGTCATCAGGGGAAGGGAGGCCTGGCCTGCCAGCTCCTCTGCCGCGACAGAGACTTGGGGTGCGGCCCCCACGCGGCGCGTGCGGAGCAGCGCAGCACGTGGCGCGCATGGGCCTGGCTCTGGGTTGGGGGTGTTCCTTCTGTGGGGCCCCGGGTGGAGCGGGGCCCAGGGCAGCCTGGCTTCTGGGCCTGAAAGCCACCGTCGCTATGCTGACCTCCTTCCTCAGAGGGTCGGCAAATGAGCGGTTCAATGTGACCGCTCCTGAACGAACCCGAGAAGGGCCGCTTTGCCTTCTGCCCTGAGGCAGGAGGATGGTGATTCCGGTATTCAAACGAAGGCGGGGGTGCTGCCTCTTTACCGGCTAAACTCCTGTCCTTGGCCTCCCTTTCCTGGGTGCGTCCTCATTTACTCAGCACAGAGAGTGAGAGACAAGACGAGGACGCGCACACCCAGGCTTATTCCAACACTGCACCCCAGCCCGCTCGGGCTCTCTTTGCAACCTGGTGCAGATAGTTAGGCCCCTCTTCTTTATTAACGTCCATTCTGTTTGTCTTAAGTGTGTGACCTTTGCATGCAATAACGTATGTGTCATGGGTTTCCTGTGAGGTACCTTGAACCCAAACTAATGTTATGTGAGAATGACCTGAATCGCCCAACTTGTTTTAACCTTTCAATTGGAGCAGAGTCGCCCCCCCCCACACCTCGAAGTCTACAAGGCTAACTGGGGAGCTGCTTTAATTTCTCCTTCCCTACAGAAGAAATCTAGAATAATCTGTACATTAAGTACTAATGCTGGTTCCCCCACTCACTAGCTCTGCAGCTTTTGTTCGGTGAAGCAGCCTCTCTGAACCTCGGTTGGCCTTACCTGTTTAGTAGAAACTGTCTACTATTAGCTTCTGGGCAGCCGGAAGAGGGGACCCCTGCATATTGCAGCCAAAGACTCTGATGTAGCACAAGCTTCGTTGAGCAACAGACATATGAGAAATGTTGGGACCCTGGGACACGGAAAGACTCAAGACTGGTGGTTGCCTTCAGGGGTTCCTTCTCCGAAGGTCGAGGCATGACTGAAAAGGACACCAGAACCCCTGACCTGCTCTCAGATCGCTGGACAGACCAAACCAAAGCACCTAGACAGTGAATAACTGTTAGGATGTGGGCAGGACCCACGGCTTTAACTGGTGCCCAGGAGTGGGATGGGGACTGCTGCAAAGGAAGGCAGTGTGTGTGTGTGTGTGTGTGTGTGTGCGCGCGTGCACACAGCAGAAATAAATACTCTTCAAGCCTAGGCCAGTTTTCTGAAGGAAGAGCGTTGCCTGCCCCTCCCCTGCCTGGCTTGGAGTTACACTCACTCTGCTGGCTATGGAGGCAGCGGAGGGCTGTGCTGAGGATGGCTGTATGTGATGGGGGTCCACTCCTTACTATCTAATAAAGTCCCCAGGCTCTCCCCAGCCCCAGCAGAACCCTCTGGGCCTAGAAAAAAAGTTGCAATACTACTGTTCATCACTCTGTCCCCCTTGCCCAGGAAGGTGCCTGGCCGACACACAGAGACCTTCAGGAAATACTTCTCGATTGGAAGGAGCCTTCTGCCTCCATCAGGAGGTATGTGGGTTTGCTGCCCAGGACTGGGAAGACCTTTGGACAATCTGGGGTTTACCAACTGAAGGGTAGAAGAGCTATTTACAGGGCCACGGGGTGACCAGCTGTGACTCTTTGTCTGGGTGGGCGGGGCCTGGAGTTCTGGCTGCACCTGAGAGCTGCCCTGGCTGCCACACGCTTAACTCCCCTGCTGAGTCTTCCACCTCTGCTCTTTTATCTCCCAGCTACAGGGTGGCCCTTTATCTATCTCTCCCAGCTCGCTGGTGCTTCCAGCTTCTGCAGCTACTTAGCTTGTGGGACTCCACAAATGGGGCCCCCTGAAACCCGAGGGATTCTCTTCTGATAAGCCTTTGCACCTTTTCACTCTGGACCCTCACCCAGGGCCCAGCCTTCTGCCTGAGCCTGAGCCTGAGCCAGGACCCCCTCCTGGGGACTACCCAGGTTCCTGTGGCTCCAGCTCTCCTGCCAGCATCCTCGACGTCCAGTCTATCAATCCGGTGAGTGATGAGACTCACCAAGAACTAGCAATCTGAGCTGGGTCTATGTGCGGTGTGCCTTGTATGTGCTGGTCCTGTTTCCTTGCAGCAGAAGGACTGTTTAGCCCGCTGGTGCTGGGTGTCTTCCCTATGTCAGCGGGGCCAGAGAGGGATGCTAAGTGGGTGGCTAGGAGCTTGGGGGCATCTTGTTAGGGCCTGGGTGCCACTTCTCCAAGTTTCCTGTCAAGGCCACTGTCAGAAAAGATAGTGGCCTGGGACTGAGAAAGGGACTGAGTTGGGGTGGGATGGCCCTGGGGCTAGGACTTAGGGTCAAAGAAAGGAAAGTGCTAGACTCTGGAAAAGGCTATATCGCCTCCGATCATTGTGAAATAGATTCTTGGAAAACTGGTTGAGAACTCAGGAAGCCCCTGGGCAGTAGTTGGAAAGAAAGCTCAGATGCTACCCTACCAGAAGACTTTGGCATCCTGGTTACTCTAGGAGACAGAGTGGGAAGGCCTCCCCACCACAGCCTTGATGGGGGTGGGGCTGTACAGTGAGGAGGCGGACTTACAGCAGGCCCTGGGAGACCCAAGGCCCTGCAGATCTGGGTTGTGGGAATTTTGTCTGCACTTTCACCCTTTCCCCTCTGCTCTGTGTCCTCCCCTTTGCCTCCTTTGTCCTCCATCACTGTCCCTGACCTCTGTCATCTCTTTTCTGTCTTCTTGAACTGTCTTTCCCTGCCTCTCAACCATGCGTCCTCCTCTCCTGATCTCCACCCTTCGGTTTCCAAGCTTATAAACTGCTTCTGCTGCTGGATAAAAATAGCGGTGGCAGCGGCCAGGCGGGCAGCCAGGTGCAGCCCAATCAGGCAGAGAGACGACAGCACTGGCTTACTGGGGCCAAAGGCCAGATGGGGGCGGGTTGAGTGGTCCTGAGCCTACAGTGACTCCTAGGGGACCTTCCCTTGCCTGCCCTGTGTGTCCAGCCCTACCCCCATGAGTCTGAGAAGGCCCCGGGGCGGTGTGGAAGCAGACCTAAACAGGGCCTTAATATTGCTTTATCCCCAGCAAGAGCCAGAGGAAGGGAGCTGCCAAGCAGGCCCAGCCGATAGCACTGGAACCATGACAACCAGTCACCAGCCTCAGGACAGGTACTGGGGAGGGGCATGGAAGTGGGTCTCTAGGGTAGGGGTTGGAGTAGGTGCAGTATTTGGGACTTGAGGTTATCTCACTACTGACTGCTCCCAGACTGGTAGTTCTGAGTTGCGTCAGGTCTTCATGGGGGTGGGGTGGGGAGCATGCATACCTCTGTGGCCGGGAGCTGGCTGGTGTGCCCGCGGGGCTAGGTGGGCAGCAGTCCCCTAGTGGATTGTGTCAGGGTTTCCACTGTCGCTCTGCAGCCAAACAGCAGCTCTGGCCCCTCCCACCACCACTATGGGGAGACACTTGGCTGCCTCCCTCATTCCAGAACACATCTGGCAGGACTGCCCTGTCCCTGGGGGTTGCCCTGGGGCCTCTGCCTTGTATGACCTCAGCCCACCCTGCCCTTTGGCCTGACCCTTCTAGCCTGCAGTCTCTGGAGTCTGTGAACTTCCTTAAGTTAGTTAAGGTCGGGAATGTGTGTCAGAAGAAAGAAGCTCTTGAGCCAAGTTCTCCAGAGGGGCTGAGGCTTGTGAAAGTTGATGAAGCCATGCTACCCATCCTTCCAGATGCCCGCTTTGTCCCTTGGGTCTCTGAAACACTCCCAGCTCCCTGCCCACCACGTAGCTAACTAGGCCCATTCTGACTGGAAGGTTAACTTCGTCTTTTCTTCCCACCTGCAAAATCTGGTGAGAGTGTCAGCCTTCTGTGGCTGTTTTCCAAGGGGCATGTGGGGATTGCTTGTTTTTCCAGACAGAATTTCTTTGTGTAACAGTCCTAGCTGTCCTAGAACTAGCTCTTGTAGAACCAGGCTAGCCTCACTCTGTAGACCAGGCTAGCCTCGAACGCACAGAGATCCACCTGCTTCTGCCTTCCCAGTGCTGGAATTAAAGGCGTGCGCCACCACTGCCTGGCTGCAGGTAGGGATTGTAGGTGTAGGTCCCAGGTTCTGCCTCCTTTCTTTCCCAAGCTGCCGGGTACCCCAGCCCAGCCCCTTAACATTCTACTCACTCTATTGCATTGCTGCCTGGCTCCGTTGTTTCTCCTCTGTCCTCCTGTCCTGTAGAATTCTCCCTTGGGATTTTGCCTTCCTCTGAACCATGCCTTGAGCATCTTGACCTCAGGGGAAAGTTTAAGGGCTGCAGTGGTCATGGCTCAGACCTGCCCACTTCGGTTACTCACTCTGGCAGTCCCATTTAAGGCTTGCAAAGAGCTAAGCTCCTGTTGCCCTGACCAGACCTGTGTTGGGCCTTCTTACCACTATCTCTGAAGCTGGCCAAGGGGAAGGACCAGGGTTGCTAAGCTTATCCAGCGTCTGGCTCTGTGTCCTCATGCTCAAGACCAGATGGCATCCATAGACCTTAGTCTACCTGCACTGCCCTAGGTAGTTGGACCTACAAAACTGGTTCTGTCTGGTTAGGGGGAGAAAAAAGATTTATAGCTTCCTACTTCCCAGCTCCCTCAGGCACCCAGCCCATCTGTGCCACTGGGTCCAGAATGGTCTGGGTGTTTTCTTGACCTCAGAGTCCTTCAGGGAATTACTGAATTCCCACTTAGACAGCCGAATTACTTGTAGCCTGTGTGGTGGGGTATGGGGGAGATGTGCGTTCACTCTTCTTTCTATCCACCCAGTCCTTTAGTAAAGTTCCAAAGCCATCGCTGGATGTGTGGGTCACTCTGCTTCCCAGCCTGAAGGCCCTCTGGTACTTGAGAACAGAGGTTCCATCACCCACGTCGTTTAGCACTGAGCTAATGGCCCTTCTCCCTTGCCCATCTGCACCGGCTCTGTACTACCTGAGGACCCACACATCCCCAGTGGCACACCTCCATGGAAGGACACGTGCACATGGACTCACATAGCTGGGACAGCTGGGAAGATGGGGAGGGAGGACAGGTGGGCTACTTTGCCTTCTTTCTATTCAGGTATAAGGCAGTATGGCTTATCTTCTTCGTGCTGGGCCTGGGGACATTGCTCCCCTGGAATTTTTTCATGACAGCAACTCAGGTGAGGCCGGGGGCGGGGAGGCACTGGGTTCCAGAGGATGTGTCTCCCAGGCTTTTGAGGCCTGTTTCTGCGCCTCTGGGCACAGAGCGAAACAGAGGTTCCAACGCTCAACCTTTGAAAACCCCACAGTATTTCACAAACCGTCTGGACCTGTCCCAGAATATGTCCACAGTCACTGACAAATCAAGCCAGGACACGGAGACCTTGCCTGCTCCCACAGTGTCCGCACCAGAGCGGAGTTCTCTCAGTACCATCTTCAACAATGTCATGACCTTGTGTGCCATGTTGCCCCTGCTGCTTTTTGCCTGCCTGAACTCCTTTCTGCACCAGAGGTGAGCCTCCCCATCCCAGGTGCCCCAGGCTGCCGTCCCTTCAGTCCCCTCCTAACGTCCACCCCGTCCCACCCCCGCCTCTTCTCTAGGATCTCTCAGTCTGTTCGGATCCTGGGTAGCCTGGTGGCTATCCTGCTGGTGTTCCTGACTACTGCCATCTTGGTGAAGGTGGAGATGGAGCCACTGCCTTTCTTCATCATCACCATGATCAAGATCGTGCTCATTAATTGTAATCGGGGGACAGAGTGTGGGCAGTTCTGGGCCTGGGTTGGGAGTTGGGGCGGAGATAAGGAGTCCGGGTTAAGGCTCCCTGGGAGCCCCAACTGCCAGCCCCTTATCCTTGCTGACACGCTGCCTACACTGTTCCTCAGCATTTGGTGCCGTTTTGCAAGCCAGCCTTTTTGGTCTGGCTGGCGTCCTGCCAGCCAACTACACAGCCCCCATCATGAGTGGCCAAGGCCTGGCTGGCTTCTTCGCCTCAGTGGCCATGATCTGTGCCATTGCCAGTAAGTCTTGCTACCCCACGTGCCAGTGTGGGGAGGCAGGGAAGGATGACGTGGGGTGATGGGGTGTGTCTGATCTTGTCCACTGTCTGCACCAGGTGGCTCCGAGCGGTCAGAAAGCGCCTTCGGCTATTTCATCACAGCCTGCGTAGTTGTTCTTTTGGCCATCGTCTGTTACCTGGCTCTGCCTCGGCTGGTGAGCGCATGGAGGAAGCTGGCTTTGGGAGCGGGGAAGGCCCAGGGTCAAAGCAGGGGGTGTCCTGAGATTGAAACATGGCAAGTTGGGGTTCTGGAGCTGCCTCTGACCCTACTTCCCCATCTCCCTTGCTCAACAGGAATTCTATCGCTATTACGTGCAGCTCAACCTTGAGGGGCCCTCTGAGCAGGAGACCAAGTTGGATCTTATCAGTAAAGGTCTTAATTACTAAAGGAAGTCTTGATGGGGCAGCACGAGGCAGGGGTCAGGTGTTGGTACGTGGTATCAACTGGCAGATGAGCCCAAAGGAGGCAGAGTGACCATGAGTAGTAAGCTGAGGCTAACGTGGGACTAAGTTGGGGGAGATTACATGATGACCTTAGGGGACTTGGAGCTTTGCTGAGTTGGTAGACTGTTTGCACAGAGTCCTGAGTTGATTCCTGCACTGGGCAGGGTGGTGCACACATAACCCCACATTTGGGAAGTAGAGGCTGGAGGATCAGAAATTCAAAGTCATCCTTGGCTATCTAGTGAGTTCAAGGCCAGTCAGAGCTACAAATAAAACCTTGTCTCAGTAAGGAAAATAGAAGAACTTGTCTCAGGCTTTTGTACTGAGGTAGCAGTTTCAGAGGGAACAGAGAACAGCGTGAGCCCCTGGGGGAAGGGAAGCCCCAGGGACCTGGTCACAGGGCATTTAGGTCTATGGGTGTTGGAGTGTTAGCTGTTAGGAACCAGCCAGTTAAGGAGGTGTCCACCTCCAGCTCAGTCTTCCAATTGTTCTGTCCTCCCCAAATGTAAAGATCCTTCTCTAACCTCTCACCCAACAGGAGAGGAACCAAGAGGAGGAAGAGAGGAGTCTGGGGTTCCGGCTCCCAGCTCTCTGCCCACCAGCAAAAACCACTCTATCAAGGCCATACTTAAGAGTGTATGTGGGGCTGGGGCGTCCTGCCCTTCCTTCCTCACCCCCTTCTCTCCTTTTGCTGTGTCCATCCTTAAACCGCCCCTCCTACTGACCTAAGATTGAGCTTTTCCTGTCTTCCTTCCTGTGAGTGTGTGTTCTTGCGCTCTCTCTCTCTCTCTCTCTCTCTCTCTCTGTGTGTGTGTGTGTGTGTGTGTGTTGGGAGTTCTTTGAGTGGGGGGGGTGTCGAGACAGGGTTACGCTGCATAGCCCTGGCTGTCCTGAAACTTGGTGCTCTGTAGACCAGGCTGGCCTCAAACTCAGAGCTCTTCCTCCCGGGTGCTGGGATTAAAGACCACCACTCATCTCTTTGATCATTGGCACACAGCCACCAAGTCAACCAGTAACCATGACGACTCTCTTTTCTCTCTCCAGATCTCAGTCCTGGCTCTGTCTATCTGCTTCAACTTCACGGTCACCATTGGCTTGTTCCCTGCTGTTACTGCCGAGGTCGAATCCAGCATTGCGGGCACCAGTGCCTGGAGTAAGGGCTCCGGCTTCTGGGACAGATGCAGCAAGAGGCTAGAGTGGGAGCAAGGGTGGAGCATGGGCAACCTGGGGACCCGTCTGCCCAGCTGGATCTTCAGGGCCTGTTCACCCTGCCATTGGCTGGAAACTTCTGTTGTGCAGTGAGGAGGCCAAGCCTCAGAGAGAGCCAGGTGTTGTCTCTAAGTCTCTCTTTTCTCTTCCAGAAAATTACTTCATTTCTGTGGCTTGTTTCTTGAACTTCAATGTCTTTGACTGGTTAGGCCGGAGCCTCACAACTGTTTGCATGTGGGTAAGTAGAACATGGGCTCTGGGACCTGTAGGATCAAAGTGTCCAGCTGAGACTAAGAGAGAGGCCCCAAGAAAGTATATTGGTGGGGCTGGGTGTGTGGCTGTGTAGTAGAGGGCTTGCCTACCATACATGACCCCTGGGGCTTCTGTCTGTAACCCCTTCAAGATTGGGAAAAAAAATACAATGGGAAGGGAACTGTCTCTTTCAAGACTACATGTAACTTATGTGTAACGTATATAATTCCTTTCTATTTTTAGATTTTTAAATTACTTATTTATCTCTATCTATCATCTATCTATCTATCTATCTATCTATCTATCATCTATCTATTTATCTGAGACAGGGTCTCGCCAGGTAGCCCTGGTTGTCCTTGAATTTGTTATTGTGGATCAGGTTGGCCTCAAATATCCATCTGCCTCTGCTTCCCGAGTGCACATGCCACCACGCGCAGTCCAGCTAAGAGTGTATGTGGGGGTGTATGCATGTGAGTGCAAATGCCCACAGAGGCCAGAAGAGGGTTACAGAAGTTGTGAGCTACCTGGTGTGGGTGCTGGGACCCGAACCAGGTCCTCTGCAAGAGCAGTAACCACTCTTAAGTGCTAAGCCATCTCTCCAGCCCACATTACAGTTCTTAGGTATGTAACCTGGCAGGGTCGTGTATGTGCTTACACACGTATCTGCATTCCAGTGTTTAGGACTGGGGGCACTGCTCAGTTGATAAGACTGCTTACCTCGAGTTAGCCCCGAGTTTGACCTAGAATACCTCATAAGTCAAGTATGGTAGGTGCATACCTGAAACCCTAACACTTGGGAGCTGGAAACATGAGGATCAGAAGTTTGAGGACATTCTTGGCTGTATACAGTGAGCCTGGGATAAGTGAGGGGGAAATCAGTATCTGTGCACTCCACTGTACCTCTGGCAATCAGCATCCCCCAGGTAAGCAGGCCTAGAGGTTTCCCCAAGCCCTAGGGCCCCTGAGCAGACAGTGAGGACTGACACAGACTGAGGCCTGGCCTTTCCCTTGCAGCCTGATAAGGATAGCTACTGGCTGCCGGTTTTGGTGGTCGCCAGGATCGTGTTTATTCCCCTGCTGTTGCTCTGCAATGTGAAGCAGCGCTACTATCTGCCTTCCATCTTTAAGCACGACGCCTGGTTCATCATCTTCATGGCTGCCTTTGCCTTCTCCAGCGGCTACCTTGCCAGCCTCTGCATGTGCTTCGGGCCCAAGTGAGTGGGGCAGAAGAGAACTTGGTGACATCAGGCAGGAGGGGGATGGCAATAGGAGGGCCTTTCATCCCAAAGCTGCGAGGAGCGGGTTGTGACAGCTTGGGGGTGTGGGGGACAGTGCCCAGCTTGGGGGTGGTGGGGGACAGTGGAGGCTTGGCCTTCCAAGTGTGCCCATGCTGAGCTGTGGGAGAGGGTGGAGTTGGGAATTTCGGGTGGTATGCGAGGGGGATTGGGCAGGGCTGGCTTGGCTCTCCTAAAATCACCCTACCTTCCTTTCAGGAAAGTCAAACCAGCTGAAGCAGAGACGGCAGGAAACATCATGTCCTTCTTTCTCTTTCTGGGCCTGGCTCTGGGAGCTGTTTTGTCCTTCTTGTTAAAGGCACTTGTGTGACCAACCATACAGGGACAGATGGACTACACTGCCTGCCTGGCTTGAGCAGGGGTCCAGGGGTTTGCTCTTCTGACTGACCTTGGCTTTCTTCTGGTCTGTGTTGGGCCCAGATGCTCAGGCCCCGGGAGGGAGCCTCCTCGGATGGATTTGGGATTGAGAACTCAGAATGGCAAGGGAGCACAGTCTCTTAGGGAGAGCTCTGCCTGTCCCTGCTTAAACCAAGCACTCTAGGCTCCTGGGCTGAGAGAGGTCTTCTGCCTGCCTGTCACAAGGGTGGGGTGGAGGTGGAAGGCCGCCTGGTACCATATGATCTGTTGCTGCTCCTTCTCCCTCCTTTCTTGTACGCCTGTTCTCCTTCCCGTTCCCTGTCATTTTACTGCCTTTTTATACTGACAGAAACCAGGTGCCTTCAGAGGCTCTCTGATTAAATAAACTTTGTTTGTTTTTGGGGTTTTTTTTTTTTTTCCTTCTCCACAGCTCCCTGTGTCCTCCCAAGGTTTAACCCCTTGGAGAGGGAGGCTGGCAGCCTGAGTCTAGGACTTGAGTGTGACCCAAGGTATAAGAGGTGACCCTGGGTATAAGAGGGTAGGAGCCCTTTAGCCTCAGAAGCTGCAGTGCCCCCTGCTGGACCACAGAGAAGGGGACATGCTTGGAGCCAAGACACCCTGACTATGGCCCAGCTCTAGAAAGACGAAGGTTTTCTTTTCTGCTCACTTTTTATTTGAGACAAGATACAGCTCAAGCTGACCTCACATTCCATACGTCCCGGAGGATGACCTTGAACCGTTCTTTCTGCCTTCATCTCTTAAGTGCTGGCGTATAGCACTATGTCCTGGATCTAGGGACCGAATCAAGGACTTTGCATATGCTAGGCAAGCGCTCTACTAACTGAGCTACACCCCAGTCCCTTTTTCTTATTCCAAAGGACTGAAAATGGAGGCCGCTCTATGTCGTTCCTGTCCTCAGTGTTATCCGCCCCTCCCCCACAGATGCTGTCCTGGGGCCTGAAATGAACTCTGCCAAACTGGCCAGCACCACCCCCAGCTTCTGGCCATCCTCCCACATCCCTGGGCAGGAAAAGGCTGAGGACTGAGTTCTCCCTTACCCTTGGCTCCAAGCCCTGACACCGAAGCCCAGGCTGCCAGACTTCCTGGAGAACAAGGGACCTATGTGTCTTCATGTTGGAGCTGGACCTTCCCTTTCTCTAACCACACTGTGGTCTAAGGAAGGGTGGGTTGGTACGGGATGTGAGATCTACTCCACTGAGGACTCGCTGTGTGAGTGGAGCTGAGAGACGATCTCTCGCCATAAGCACACCTCAGCCCCAGCCCTGGGAGGTGTCTCTGGCTTTTCCCAGAAATGCATGAGCTTTTGCCTCCTGGCTCAGGCTGTTTACTTGCTGGTCCTTAACTGATGACTACAGAGCTGACCCTACTTTTAGGACTTCCTTTTTTATACGGAAATTTCATTTAAACCAGTGGTTCTCAAACTTCCTAATGCTTCAATCCCTTAATACTGTTCCTCATGTTGTGCCGACCCCCCCACCACCTTAAATTTATTTTTGTTGCTACTTCATAACTATAATTTTGTTACTGTTAGGAATCATAACATAAATATTTGTGTTTTCCACTGGTCTTAGGTAACCTCTCTGAAAGGGTTATTTGATCTCTAAAGGAGTCATAACCCACAGGTTGGAAACTGTGGCTTTAAACAAAGGTTTCGGGCTTTCATTTTATGAGTAGTAGTGGCATTTCTTTTTCCCGTCTCTTTCCTTTTTTTTTTTTTTTTTTTTTTTTGACACAGTTTCTTTGTATAACTGACTGTCCTGGAACTTTTTGGACCAGGTGGACCTCGAGTACAGATGCCCACGGGCCTCTGCTGGTATTAAAGGCATGCGCCACCACCACCATTTAGGCTTGGCTTGTTTTCAGTCCCTTGCCCCACCTACACACACACACACACAGGGTTTCCCTGTGTAGCAGTCCTGACTGTCTTGGAACTCACTCAGTAGACCTTGAACTCACTGAGATCCACCTGTCTCTGCCTCCCAAGTGCTGGAATTAAAGGCCTGCGCCACCATGCCAGGCTTTGTTTTCAATTTTTTTTAAAGATTTGTTTATGTATGACTACCTGCATATACACCTTTATGTCAGAAGAGGGCATCAAATCTTACTTGAGAGTGTTGGGAATTGAACTCTGAAAGAGCACCCACTGCTCTTAACCGCTGAGCTGTCTCTCTAGCCCCTTGTTTTCTTCCTTCCTTCCTTCCTTCCTTCCTTCCTTCCTTCCTTCCTTCCTTTCTCTTAAGATTTATTTATTATGTATGCAATGTTCTGCCTGCATTTCAGACAAGGGCACCAAATGATGGTTGTGAGCCACAATATTGTTGCTGGGAATTGAACTTGGGACCTGAAGAGTGTTTGGAATTCACCAAGATGGTTCCTGCTACACATTCCTTGCTGGCCTGGTTTGTTTCCGCGGCTAGCCTCAAACTCTTGGCAATGCTGCTCTAGTCTTCCAAGGGCTGGGGTTGTAGGCGTGGCATCATCACAAGGAGACTTCTGCGCAGCAATTACAATGGGCTTCTCCCTGGAACATGCACCCGCTTCCCCAAAGCTTCCTGATGTTTGACCAGCCACCATCAGCTTATGTAATTTTCTTCCCCTTCCGCATCCCAGGATGTTTGCAATGTGACTTATTTCCTTTCAGGCCCTTACCAGCCATGGGCTGTCCTGATGCTGAGGCTAGGGTTTGCATTTCACTCCGGTTTTGGCTTTTTGAGCTGAAAGTGCTGTGCCTGACTCCTAGGGGTTCTCTGAAGATGTCCGCTTCATTAGCTTACGACCATGTGACACCTGCCCCTTTGCACCATCTCATGCCCCACCCCCGAGATGTGGTGGCATTCATTGCCCATGTTCTTGCCCCCCTACACTGACCTGAAGGGGTCGGGGAGACATTTACAATTCAGTCACTTTATTACTTCCTGTACCTGAACCAATGTGGAAGAAAATGCTGGAATATATATATAATCTTTTCCCCCAAAGTCTTCTGATCACATGCAGGCTGGAGAGGGGGGGAAGGGGAGGCTAAGAACATCAGGAGCCACTGCTGGGCACTTCTGCTTCCTATGAAGCGGGGAAGAGTTGAGCAAGGGACTGCCAGGTATCCTTCCTGCCCCAGTGCTAGACATCACTTCCTGACATTTCTGTTCAAAGCAGTCTGTTCAGCTGCTGTCTTCTGGGTGGCTGCCAAGTGATCTTCCCTGTGTAGGCCAAGGTGGTGCAGACTTCAGGGCGCCCCCTTGTGGTCGTAGTTACTGCAGTGGAGCAAGCAGGCGGCTGCAAGCATCCCTTTAGTTTTTGCCGTTTATCAGATGAGAACTCTACTAAATTCTACCTTTAAAAAGAAAGAAAGAGAACTAATTTAACTGTGTGATGGTGATGCACGCTTTTAGTCCGAACACTTGAGAGGCAGAGGCAGGTGATCTCCAGGTTTGAGGCCAGCCTGGTCTACAGAGTTCGCAGACAGCCAGAGTTACACAGAGAAAACCTGCCTCCAAAATAACAACAACAAAGAAAAAAAAAACTGGTTTAGGTTCAGAAAGGAAATTGAAACGGGATAAAGAAGAGGTGGAGTGACGGTTCTCACAAAAACTGGATTATTCTAAGAATTCAGCTGGTAGCCGCTCAGAATGGGTGTGAGCCAAGCTGTGCAGAGTCACTAGAGAGCTGGGCCGACTGGCCGGTATGGACACGGGAAGGGTGACTTCAGGAGGTTGGCCAGAAGATCTGGTGCCAAGGCCAGGCTGGCAGAGTCTGCCCTGGGGACTATCTGGTTTCTATGGTGGGTGTGGGCAGAGTCTGGTCCCCTTAACCCATCATTGGCTCTGTCCTAGCCTGGTCTAAGAATATAACAGTCCGTTAGGGCTCCCCGCGTGTTTCCAAGGTATGATCATTCAGCCCTCTGCAGTTTTTCAGGCGGTCCTGAAAAGTCTCCAAAAACCCAGATGCATTCTGGCTCCAAACTGTGGGGAAGTGCTAAGTGTGGGTCGTCAGGGCCCTGTGAAGGCCTCTGCCAAGACAGCAGCCACCTCTTCCTTGACTTTTTCTGAGGGTGGGACCACTTGGCATGAATTCAGATCCATAGAGATCTGTCCTGGGTCCCAGCTGTTCAAACCTGGACAAGCTTTTCATTCTGTGGCTCTGGTTTCTCTCCAGGGCATGGCAATATCAGTAAGGACTTGCTAAGGGAATTACAGCCAGCTGTCCAGAGATGGCACAGGCTAAGATAAGAGCCTTAGTAACCAAGATGAGTCTGCGCATCCTGGAGCGATCTACGTACTTGCCCCCCTCCCCCGCACCTCTAGGCTCTGGAAGCCTGAGAACCAATCCTTACTTGCCTAGTTAATCCCAGTGCTTATTAACTACACCAGTGTTTTATTACTCCTTGCTGCAGCCAGTCAGCCCCTAGAAATCAAGACCGTGGGGGGCAGGATGCATGCTGGGATTGGGGAGGTACTGCCAGAGCTGAGGGGGTAGATGGTATCACAGGTCCCATAGTGGGAGCATTTTCCCCACTTCTTGTGAACTCGGGCATGTGGGAAGTCAAGACTGTGAGACCTGCCCCACTGTTCCTTGTGTCCAGGTCACCTTGCACCAGGTACTTAACGTCTGTGTAAAGCAGGGAGGGTAACATCTGGAAAGCCACTGATAACTCAGGACGAAAGCAATGGTTTGTCCCTCTGCCCAGCACTTAGCTACACTGTCCCACAACCCCCTCCCCAATAGCTACAGATTGAGACTATTTCCTGTTATGCCTGTTTTATTCTAGAAAATGAAATCAGGAAGGTCAAAAGGTGAAAAAAGATTCCCTAAACTGCAAGGTACTAAATCCTTTAATCCCCTACCCATCCCCACACACAGGCAGGAAAGTTATCAGGAAAAGGGACAAAAAGACAAGGCATTGCTGATTTTCCACCCTTCTGGACATCCATCCATCCATCCACATGCCCAGGGACCCGAGGCCTGGCACGCTGAACTCTCAGCTTGCCAGTTGAACGCTTAAGTGTTTGATATGTATCTCTGCTATCCAGGATCACGGTGGCAGCCCTCCCAGTCCTATATCTGTGTAGAGGCAGGCCAGGCAGGGGCAGAAGGCAGAGAATGGCTCAGAAATCCAGTCAGTTGAGACCTGTGCTCTGAAAAGGAGTTACCAGTTGCCTGGGGCAAGACAGGCGGCAGGCAGAACTATAAGTGAGTTGTGCCACCTGGTCCCTACCCTGACCGGTCAGCTCCAGAATAAACGCCATTCGTGGGATCTTTTTTGGTCCCTTGAAGGGGTTGGGAGCACCAGAGGAGGTCAAGTCTGAGAGGACTTGAAAGTAGGAGAGAGGGCAGGGCAATGACTATTTTGGGCTAGTTAGTCACACACCTTAGGGACATGGGTCCTTG